CCTTTAGACGGGGCCATATTGCCTCTTCACACGAAAAACTTACGAAGTTGCTCGCTTCAAACAACAATCAAATGTGTTAACATTAAAGCAATCTCATCTAATAAATCAATTTCATCAATGAAAATAAATAGTGATAAATGCATCAAACAGACAAAAAATGCGCTCTACAAAATATCAATTCAACAATGTGCGAAGTTAGTAATCATCAGAAATAACACGAGAGAAATTCAACGACTGTATGGAGGCATAATTCGAGAACATACTTCAGTTCATTTTCCCTCGACGAACGTCTTTCAAAACAACAGAAATTTTCTGCAACTTCAACAGATTTATTTTTCTGATCATCTTTTTTGCATCTATTCCAGCAATAAAGTAAAACGCAAAAGCATGCCTCCACTATGGTTGGAATTCCGAAAATATTGTAAATTATCGTAAACATGAATCAGCAGCGAAAAACTGATGTAAAATAATGGAAATGACGACCAAAAAGAAATCACAACGAACGTAAGAACGAGATCAGTTTAGAGAATTGTTACAACTATAAATAAGGAAACAACTTCAACTACGAATACAACTCGAAACATATCCAATAATATCATCATGTTTCAAAAGATGTCCGGTGACGAAATATTGTCACCATTATAATGACGATAACGAACAAATAGTATGAAATTAATTGGTCAGGATGGAACGTAAGCAAAACAAAAAAGTGGTGACCTTGAGGAATCATTCCGTCGGAATTTGGGTTGATAGATTTTGATATTAGTGGGATGGCGGTGACAATCTATTGAAGGCAGTGATTAAGTGGGAATGTGGAGGATCAAAGGGGGATTGTGAGTGAAGACCATAAAAAAATTTACAGATTCAACCAGCAAAAGCTTAAGTTAGATTGACCAAACAGCCGGATTGTCCACTGTATACATGATAATCTTATCAAGGACCTTGACGTCCCACTACATAGGGTTCTCCCGGCTGTCGTGATAGCATTTTCGGTTCGTTTCAATGCATAAGCAAATAATCCAATTTAAGCAACATGTTTAAAAAAAAGAGCTTCTTTGCGCGTATTATTCGTAAAATGTCGCCGAAATGCAGGAAGATAATTGAAATTGGATGCTTGGTTGAATGAATATGAAGTATCCAGTAGGGCAGACTGCTTTGTAGAAGCCATCGGCATTGCGGTCTCTTTTGATAGCGTTATAATGATTGTGATTTGATGAGCTTCAATCCCGTTCGATCAGAAGGTGATCACTGGGGTGATCATTGGATCACCGGATATATGATCAAAGAGCATGTCGATCGGTATCAATCAGACAATTAAATTACATCATGCGATCTGAGCCAACGATTTGATAATCATAATAATGGCAAGTATGACAACACTTCTCACGGATCACATCATTATCGCATCTGTAACACCAGTCCAGTGATTAATCACATCTCACGTCTCATCAACACCATGAAGTGTTGCAATCAAAAGCAAAAACTTTGAGTGAACTCACGCTTGGAATAGTTTCAAAATTTCACAATATCGAGATTTGTCGACACAGTTGCTAGTATCATCGGTAGACATTTGAGCATCTGAAAACCGATTGCATTGAATTTGTCGGCCATGACACAGCATCGGACCGAACCGGACCAGAGGATGTCGTCGACGTGATATTTGTGGTGAGAGTAGATGAGAAGGGATAGGTAGGTGGGTAGATGCCGGATGGATTGAGTTGTAGATGTATATATGCTCGTGCTTTTAGAGATACATTTGCGTAGAGTAAGAATGTTCGTTTATGACATTTTTCATGAACAATCAATTATGAATGTGCTTTCGTGAATGTATTGTTTGCGATTGTTCTATGCATTTCGGATGAGCTATCTCCGACGAATTCGAATGGATATCGAAACGCATTTCACATCGACGACTATTTGGGACATTGATAAGCGACCACTTAAAACGCTTGGCTGACGGCTCTTTAACTACTTAAATTTTCACTTTTGTCTTGCTCACTCAGAGAAACTATTGGTTATTCCATGTAACATGACAATGTTTAAACTTTATGAGTTGAGACGGAAGATACGTCAACCCATCTCGCTATATGAATATTTCACGGTGCTTTCTCACACCTTCCATATCATAATCACGAGGTGACNAAGAGAAAACAACATCAACAAATAAACGGGATCAATTTATGTACAAATTATTGCTCAACGAATGTTCGAATAAGTATGTAAACAGTAAAAAACAAGAAACAATAACACTTTGCTTCATACCAGACTCTATTGACCAGTTTGAAAATTTCACATATCTACGGCAATTTTCCATCAAAATTGCAAGAGTATTTGAGCTGAGGGCCGTAGGGATATTGAATGCAGTTGATAGCCAATCATTAATTAAATAGACTACGGTAGATGGCAAATGCTTTGAAAGAAACGGACTTTGATTGAAGCGTAGTTTTGGATGCGACAACTACGACTTAATCATCAAAACTGGTCTGAGTATGAGAGATGAAATAGACGGTAGCGAGGTACCTAATTATGAGTATCAATGATGGCGATTGCATTAGTTTTCATCAACTGAACCATAAATAAATGATAAGGAGTATAAAATAATGAAGAAGGCTATTGCAGCTTTGTCCTATGAAGACAACTCCAAGCAAGCGAGTTCTGAAATCGGGTGTACGCCGAATAATTTAACGAGAAAAAAATCATTCTATCATTTGAAAGATACAGCAGCTCTTTCTTTATTGCACATAACTCTCTCATATTTGCTCAAGAGCAAAATGAAAAGCTCATGCTACATGCTAGCTAGATTTTAGCGGGTGATTGAGCATGTGAGTTCCAGTTGTAGAGCCGCCAGCCTCGCCAGTTCTCCCATCCCTTGAAAGGGACTACTCCACCTGTGGGGGGCATCGGGTGACAAGGGGGTAGTTGTTGATGGTGAGGTTGTACACAAGCACGAATCGCAGATGGACGCGTTGACGTCTGACAGTGACGTCCAGCTGCTTTTCGTGTACCATGCCAAACACATCGCAGCAAACGCATCTGAAAGCAGTGCACCGAATTAGATTGCATCCATATTGCTTACAAATATGATCTGATTTTATCGTAGTTTTGATCATTATCTTCGATATTTTTTGTTTGACCATACAACCCTTTCGACCGAAATCATCTGCAGAGGATGCTAACTGTTGAAGTTCTTTGAATGATCGAGTCACACTCACCTGTACTCCACCATCACCACACGTACGACTGCAGTGTCCCCAAACTGATGGGCGCCATTCAGCCGTGCAATTCACTACAATCATAGATGATAAACGTCAGATTCTCGATCAAAATTTCAGATTTGGAACTCGATTTGACACTTACAACCTTTAATTGCTAGCATATTCCTAACTAACAGCAACCGCTATTCCATTCTGTCTGGTGCTTAAAGTTAATTCCAAAGAGAGAAATCATTTTGGTGATGCCAATAACATGTTAGGGGGAGATGGCACAATAGAGAACAACATAACAACAGCTCCGAAGGGACAATAACTACATAACTGGTTAACTGACTGCTAAATGAACCAGAAGGAATTTCAACGAATCAGCCAATCAGGCAGCCATCTGCTAGCATCCTTTGTTGAAATCGATTGCATAAATTCGGAGAGAGGGAGGTCCGAGACTTGAATGACTCTCGTTCCATTTTCTCGTTGTTATAACCTCTCATCGTCCACGCTTGAGTTGTCACCTACTCTATTTCATATCTCATCTACATTTCTAACGCTCCATATTTCCAGCTGATTCTCCGTGTGTAGATGAACGAATGACTAGAGAGAGAGGTTGCGTGAGGACCAAATAGATTCACTTTTGGGTTTGCTTCTAGCAGAATGTATCCGATAACAATGCAAATACTAATCGTGAACAATACGACGAAACTGGTGATGCACATGAAGATGCAAATACTTGCAGCTGTCAAACTAAATAAATAAACCGACGACGTCAGCACTTTGCCTCATTCAAAACCCAAAGGAAACCAAATCAAATTTAACGGCTCTCGGACACCTCAGCATGGCTCGACTCGGCTCGTTAACGCTTCATGTGTTGTTATTGTTGCTGTCATCGTTATCATCATTTTTATTGTGTTGTGAGCGGATGAGTGAATGTACTGCACGCTTATGTCGTATCGCCGCTCAAAGCGCTTTCTCGAGATTTGAGACACAGAGAAGAGAAAATAAAAACGACTGATTTATATGAATGAATCAGTGAATAAACGAATGAATAACTGATTTGAATGACAATGAATGATAGGCACTCCTGTTTCTATTGATTCTTTGCTTTAATTTGTTTCACTTTTCTTAAAAGGGTTGGTTCAGCAACAGGAACTGCATTTGGTCAGAAGAAAATTATCGGACTGGAGTATTTCACATCAAAGTTTACAGTGCGATCACCAACACTAACAATAAGACAATACTCGGACTAACAAAAGATAATACTTAGACAATGCGTCAGAGAATCCACACCTCAATTGTACTACATCGAAGCTCGCTCATCTCAAATTAGCGCAAAAGATTACTGCTCCAATAGATGGTAGTAACAATTCATGATATTAAGGATTCGGGCGCGGTTACTATCACAGATGGGCAATAAATAGCGAGTTATTCCGCAATCCCGTTAACTTTCACCAGTTAGCGATAGAACGCTATTACCTCTCTCTCTCTGGTTACTGTCATTGATGCGTTTCGATAAATTTGATCTGCCATACGGAACAAAACCTACTATTGACACATTCTTTCTTGACTTTTGGCCGATTTCCACGATCACAAAGCGCAAAATCAGCCCTCGTTCCATTCTCGTAGACACAGTTCACGTCACGTTTCTGCACCGAAGTCGCATGTCGAATGCATCTCGACGTTGAACACTGCAACAATTGTTCACGCTGTTCAAAAACAGTCACAACTACAGATCGTTATTATGAAGTAAATGATAGACACATTCGAATATGAATCACATGCAGATATGATGTAGGCAAATGGATTTAGCTGTTTGTAGATGAGAATATAGGAATCAATAACAATTTTCATCACGGATGAGTCCGAGTCGTTTCGCGGCGATGATTTATGGCTAAATGTGATCGTAGCTGGTCGCGCATCGAACGACAATGCCGTGCTCATCATTCAACAAAATATCATCGTAAATATATATTCCGTTGAAACGTAACATTATCTCTCAACCTTGTTTTGCTGCTGCTAATAATAAGCAATAAACATGTGCAATAAAATTGAACAACTCTGCAAATTTATTGCAATATTGCTCCTTATAAACACAGAAAATTTTGCTCGTCAGACAATTGAAGTACTTCAAACACTCTAGGTAATCAAGACCATGGGATCATCGTATTATAAGTTGATCGAAGATATTCTGATAAGAAATTCGTTCATCAGAGATTTGCGGAACACACTACCATCGCGGTCTATCGCTCGTTCGAATAGATCGAACAGTTTAGCGATGTTAAATTGAAAGTACTCAGCATCATCAAAGAGTCAAATTTTGCTCTAATAAGAGTACTCTGGATGATTGCGAAGTTTTATGCGGTTAACTTACTGTCGTCCATTCAGTAGCTTCCCAATGCGGACAGTACGATGGACTACAACTTCTCGAGGACGGCGGTCGGTTTACACCAAAGCTCTCGCAAACGCTATCGTCCAAATATCCTGCCATCCCCTCGTAAATCACTCGACATTTCAATTGACGCACCTTCAAACATAACATTTTAGACTCTGTCATGGCCTAAGTGTGCATAACTCCTGTTATGATGACAAGTCGCGCTGATGAGGACGATCAATATCACTGGCTACACTTCTGAGAATGACACTGAACAGAAAATTAACACTGGCTGAACTCCAGTCTTATCA